GCCCCGCCCCAAGGGGCCGGAGCCTCGGGGCCCGTCGCGCCAATCCACGCGCCTCTTGCCCGCCCTGCTCGGCGTGCGGTCCAATCGGGAGCGGGGAGAGGCGGGACCCGGCGGGGGGAGGGTTTTTGCCGCGAAAAGGCCACGTGAGGACTGGAGCGGCGTTCCCGCTGGGCGGGGCGCCTCAGTGCGGTCCCTCGGTCCTGCGGGTCCCTCAGGCCCCTTCGCCTGGCTCCGTTTTAGTACGAAACCCCGTTGCCGGACCGGGCTCGGGCCCGGGCACCGGTTGTTCGGTTTTGCCCGGTCCTGGCGCCACAGATGGGCATCTTCTGCCTTTGGCGGCTGGATTTGGGCCGGAAGCTGCAGGCGCTCAGGCAAGGGCGGCCGCAACTTGTAACTCGCTTCTGCGGGGACTTCTTCCAGGCCAGCCCCGCCAAGAAGGCCCGGACAGGGGAGAACGAACCGGGGACGCCACCTTCCTCGCCATTGAGCCCCGAGCAGTTGGTCCGCATCCAGAGGAACAAGGCCGCGGCCCTGCTCAGACTCGCAGCCCGCAACGTGCCCGTGGGCTTTGGCGAGAGCTGGAAGAAGCCCCTCAGCGGAGAGTTCGGGAAGCCGTATTTTATAAAGGTAGGTGTGGAAATCCACCTCCCGTAGGGAAAATGAACGTGCAGGCTGCTGGCAAGCCCGTGTTTGTAGGATGTTGCTTTCACCTAAAGGAGGTCAAATGAAGCCCTGGTGTTTTGAATCCGCACTTTTTTAATAGGTTAAGCTTGTTTAAAAAAAAAAAAAAAACAACTGTAAGATGATATCATAGTTTATGTTAAGCCACTTAGCTCTCTAAGAAAAATTGGAATAGTAAAACTGTCAGCCACAATGAGTGACACCAGGCATGGCGGTTAAAAGGGGGAGGAGTTGGCATCATCAGGAAATGGAAGCAGCCAGGTAAATCAACCTTGACCCAGCCCTGAGAAAGAAAGGGGAGAGAACCTATACGACTGAGCAAGTTAGGTGAGGAAGAGGCACCATTTGTTGTTTAAAAGAATTTGGATATAAAGCATGGCAAAGAACCAGATGATGCTTAAAAGTAACCTGCCTTAGAAACTCTTACTGAGCACGTCATTTCCAGTGAGAATCTGATTTTAAGTTTATTTTTAAATCAGCTAATGGGATTTGTGGCAGAAGAAAGAAAACATCACACTGTGTATCCACCCCCTGACCAAGTCTTCACATGGACCCAGATGTGTGATATAAGAGATGTAAGTATAAGTAGTCGATGAATTTAATTAGGGTAGTGAGTCAAATCCAGGTGGAGTGTCCCTTATCCAACATGCTTGAGATTTTGGATTTCTTTCAGATTTTGGAATATTTGTATATACATAACATCTTAGAGATGGGGCCCGAATCTGAACATGAATTTCATTTACATTTCATATACACCTTATACACATAGCCTGAAGGTAATTTTCTATGTTTTTGTGTTGCACAAAACATTTTGACTGATTTAACATTACATCCCAAGGTCAAGTGTGGAATTTTCCACTTGTGGAAAATTGGAATTCAAAACATTTTAGATTTTGGAGTGTTTTGAGTTAAGGATGCTAAACCTGTAATATTTGTTAATTAGAGATACTGGATTTCATCCATAATTCTGTAGCAACTGAAATTGTGAGGTTTGGCTGCCTATATTTTAGTCTATATTTTTTCTTTTTTTAATAGAGGGATTTTTGCTATAGGGCATGTATGCTGGCTGGAGAGAGAGAGAAAATTAAAAATCACTCCCTAGGGGACTGGCCACACTTCAATCCCTTCTCCGTTCTCCTCCTGGGATTTTGGGCATGCATGCACACACACCCAGTATGATTTTCAGGCCACCTGGTCTAGGACTCAAACTGCAGTTGGCCTTGTGGGATACCAGTGCCATAACCACCATGGTACCTACTGGCCCCCAGAGCAAGAGTTTTAATTACAGATTTTTGTTTTTGAAGTTTACCCCAAAAAAGGCTAAGTTCTATTAAATTTAGTCCTAGTGGGCCTGCAGGTGGTATGGTGGTTAAGGTGTAATAGTAAAGGACCAGCAGATGACATAATAGTTAAGTCTCTGAACTCCCACATAGCTCACCACAGTTTGAGTCCCAGATCCAACGGCTTAAACTCACGCTGGCTTAACACGCCGTGTGCTTGTGTGCGTGCCCAAAATTCTGACAGGAGCATGGAGGAGAAGGGATTACAGTTTGGCCATCCCCCATCTCGCTTCCTGCCTCTGTCTCTTTCTGTGTCTCTGGCAAGTACATGCGCTCTATAGCAAAAAAAAAACCAAACAAACTTAAAAAATAATAAATAATAAAACTAAAAAAGTACTATCAATAGTTTGTTCCTTGTTTATCATGCCTTGCTCTGAATACTAATGATTGATCTAAACCAAGACAACTCAAAGATGATTGGCTCTATGTGTCACCGAGGATTGGATTTGTCAGTGGGACTTTTTTGGCAGATGAGCCTACTAAGGTCAGGGAGGCTAGGTGGTGGCCCCAAGATGGTCCTTCATCCAAGACTAGACCTCCTTGCCAGGAACCTTTACAGCTAAGATAGGTTGTGTTGCCATGAAGAATGTGCCAGTGACAACATGAAGTTGGGGGAAGAAAGGTCCACAAAGGTTCCTGAACCTAGGAACATCTGAAGCTGGATTTGAAGAATAAAGAACAGCCTACGGGGTCAGCAGGTGGCATGGCGATTAAGGCACTGGACTCCCACATGACTGACCATGGTTTGACTCCCAGACCTGGCAGTTTGCTTTCTCACTTTCCCTGTCTCTCTTTCTTTATCTGGTAGTGCACATGCCCTATAGCAAATTAAATAATGATAATAAATAAAGTTAAATAAATCTTTAAAAAAAAAAAAAAAGACTGTGGATAGAGGCCTGAGGTTTAAGCCATTGATTTAGATTTTTGCCTTAGGGTGCATGCCAGAGAGACAAAGTGAGAAGTCACCCCCCGAGGGAATGGCCATTTTGCAATTCCTTCTCAGGATTTTGGGCATGATCACATGCCTGGCATGATTTTCAAGCCACAGGGTCTGGGGCTCATACCATAGTAGGCCATGTGGGAGTCCAGTGCCTTTAATCACCATCTACCATCTACTGACTCCTAAAGGCCTACGAATGAAGATGAGGTTGACAGGGCTGGACCATAAGGAATTGTTTTCTACACCTTCTGCAGCAAGGACCTTATTACTTCCCCTTGCCTCTTGCCACCTATTCCCATGTCTCTTTTTAATTTTTATTTATTTAATTTGCTTGTGCACTCACCAGAAGAAGAGGGGAGAGGGAGAAAGCACATTCCCCCATATTGGGCCATGGTCACATACCAAGTCCTTTTCCATTTCTCCATCCTGTTGAGATTTGGGACACACATGCTCTGGGGCCCAGCATGTTGAAGTCACTGGGCCTGGGATTCAAGCTGCATAATGTGCCATGTGGGATCTGGTTCCTTTAGCCACTGGGCTACGGAGCTGACCTTCAGTTTTTTTAATTGCATCAGACATTGTCTTTCTGTGTTGGAATCCTCCTGCCTCAGTCTCCCACATTGTGAAGACTGCAGATGCACCACCATTTGCAGCTGCAGTGGCTGTTTTGACCTGGAGTTTCTCTGTTGGTTTTTTCTGTTAGACGATACAGGAGAACAGGCATCCTCCAATGCTGCTGCTGAAACAGCTTCAACTTTGAAAAGGAGCTGAGTCCATATGAAGGGACTTCAGAAGTTCTTGGAAAAGTAGAATGGAAGTATAAATTTATTTTGGTGCAAGAAAAATTTGAAACCCCTGCAGTTTTTTATAATATGAATTTTCCATGAACTCAAGATGGAATAGGGATGACCAGGAGGTCGTTAGCCACTTGTTATGTTTCTGGGTGTTCATACTTGTCACAAGGGTATATTTAGCTTTGGTAATATGAAAAATTACAGATATGAATGCAAAGTTGACCCAATTTGTTTACTTTTTAAAAATTATTTAATTTTACTTTTTTTTGGGGGGGAGAGGTTTTTGCTATACGGCACGTGCACTCGCCAGAAAGATAGAGACAGAAAGCGAGAAATCACCCCCCAGGGGGGATGGCCACGTTGTAATCCCTTCACCTTCATTCTCCTCTTGGGATCTTGGGCACACACGCACAGGTGCCCGGCATGAGTTTAAGCCACCGGGTCCAGGACTTGAACCACGGTCGACTATGTGGGAGTCCAGCGACATAGCTGTTATGCTAACTGCTGGTCCCTGATTTTACTTATTTTTACGTTTGCTATAGGGCATGTGCACTCACCAGATAGCCGCAGAGAGTGAAAAGGCAAGCTACCAGGTCCAGAAATTGAACTGAGTGGTTGGCCTTATGGTAGTCCAGCACCTTAACCACTACACCACCTGCTGGTCCCAACCCAACTTGTTTTAAATGAATGTGTGTCAGAGAAGGGGATGGACAGCATGGCCAATGAATGATTGGTAATGAGAAATAATAGGGCTGAGTCTATTTCTCCCTTCATGGAGTTCTTGTTTGGGCCAAGAGGGGGGTTCTCCTCCCCGTAGTTGTGTCTTTGCTAGTTAGTGTCACACACACACACACACACACATATGTATATATGTATTTTTTGTGTGTAAAATATTTTTATTTAATTTTACTTAATATTTTTTCAGTTTAACCAGAGAGAGAGAGGGAAAGTGAGAAAGCAAGCCTCCAGGTTCAGGACTTGAATCGTGGTCAGCCATATGGAAGCCTAGCACCTTCACCACACTACCTACTGGACTCCCATATATATATATTTTTAATACAATAATTTTTTTTTTAGAATTATTTAACTTTATCTCTCTATCTTAATTTAACTGGAGAGAGAGAGGGAAAGTGAGAAAGCAAGCCGCCAGGCCCAGGACTCAAACTGCAGTTGGCCATGTGGGAGTCCAGTGTCCTTAACCATCACCTGGCCCACCTGGTGGGCCCCTGTATATTGTTTTAATTCCTTGCCATTGGTGTTCACAGGTGAAGGTCGTCATCCTGGGACAGGATCCATATCATGGACCCAATCAAGCTCATGGGCTTTGCTTTAGTGTTCAAAGACCAGTTCCACCGCCACCCAGGTACAGTTGCCTTACAGATGTCCATTTCCCCCACCGCCCACCATGATTATTGACACTTTCAGACTTTGCAAGTTGAGACCCTTTAGAGCTTTTTCCTGGCCTTTAGAGCACAAAGTCTTAAGCTCAGTACTATTGACATTTGGGCTGAGTAACTCTCTGTTGTGGAGGGGAATTGTTCTGTGTATCAGAGGGTGTTGAGCAGCATCCCTGGCCTGTACCTGCCAGGTGTCTGAAGCACACCTCTCACCTGTGACAGTGAAATGTCCAGATCTTGCCTAAAGTCTCTAGAGAAGCCTCATCACCCCCCAATTTGAAGAATCAAACCACTGCTTTAGAGATTTTTGTATATATTAAAACATAAATATATTGGGACCAGAAGTTGGTGTAAGGGCTATGTCACTGAACTCCCATGTAGTTGACCACAGTTCAAGTCTCGGACCTGGTAACTTAAACTCATGCTGGGCACATGTGTGTGTATACCCAAGATCCCGAGAGGAAAATGGAGGATAAGGGATTGTTGTGTGGTTATCCCCCTGGGGGGTGATTTCTTGCTTTCCCTCTCTCTGTCTCTCTGTCTCTGTCTTTCTGGATAGCGCATGTGCCCTATAGCAAAAACCTCTCAAAAAAAAAAAAAAACTATAAATATATACTGATAAGAAACTGAGCATTTTAGGAAGGAGGTTTGTTATTGCTGGGCCATTCAGAACTCTGTTCTTTAAATCCAAACCTGGTAAAGGTGTTGGCAGACTGATCTGTCAGGACTGACAGTGTTTAGCTCATTAATTGGGCTGTGTGCCCTGTTGTCCTTCCCATGGATTGTCTTCACAGATATTAACCTCTGATCTTTTCACGCATTATCTTGAAGTTTCAGAATTATACTTAAAATTCTTTTTTCTCCTGACTTGCTTTCAGTTTGGAAAATATTTATAAAGAGCTGTCTACAGACATTGACGGTTTTGTTCATCCTGGCCACGGTGATCTATCTGGATGGGCCAAACAAGGTACACTGACCATTGCTGGACCTGGTTCAACTGAGGCCTATTGTCATCTCTGTTCTCATTTGTGCTAAAAGTTGCCCAGAGAACTAGCAATCTAATAAAATCGCTAATTTATATAAGTAATTACAAGGGATCTTGAAAAAGTTTATAGAAGAGGCTAGCAGGTAGTGTGGTGGTTAAAGACACTGGACTCCCACATGGCTGACCACGGTTCAAGTCTTGGACCTGGTGGCTTGCTTTCTCATTTTCTTTCTGTGTGCCTCGCTCTGGTCAAAATTTTAAAAAGGTAGCATTTATTTTAAATAAGATAAAGGATATAATTCCTTAAAAACAAAGTTCATGACAAATGCATATTAAAAGCTGCATGGATTTAGGGGCCTGCAGGTGGGGTGGGGTTTGGAGGCACCGGAGTCCCAAATGGCCAACTGCGGTTTGAGTCCCGGATCTGGTGGCTTGCTTTCTCTTGTTCCCTCTCTCTGTCTCTCTTTAGTCAAATTCAATAGTAATAATAAATAAAGGAAATAATTCTTTGTTAGAAAAAGTTCATGGAAAATGCATTTTAAAAACTGCGTGGGTTTCAATATTCTTTTTTTTTAGATTTTTTGCTATAGGGTACATGCACTTACTGGAGAGACAGAGACAGAAAGTGAGAAATCACACCCCCCAGGGTGGGGATTGCACCTACAATCCCTTCTCCATTCTCCTCTTGGGAGTTCGGCATGCATGAACATGAACCCAGCATGAGTTAAAGCCATGGAGTCCAGGACTCGAACTGCAGTTAACTACGCGGGAGTCCAGTAATGTAACCATTACGTCATCTGTTGGTCCCAGATTTCAACTTTTTTTTGCACGAAGAATAAACTTAATTTTCTTTATTGCTTTAATTTTATTTTCTACAATCTTTGAAGTCCTTATATAGAGATACATATATATATGTGTATTAGTGGTTTTTTTGTTTGTTTGTTTGTTTTAAAGAGAATTTTGCTATAGGGCTCCTGCGCTCACCAGAAAGAGAGAGACAGAAAGACAGAAAGCGAGAAATCACCCCTCAGGGGGGATGGCGACGCCACAATCCCTTCTCCTCCATTCTCCTCTTGGGATCTTGGGCACGCATGCACATGTGCCTGGAGTGAGTTTAAGCCACTGGGTCTGGGACTTGAACTGTGGTCGACTACATGGGAGTCCAATGACATAGCCGTTACGCCAACTGCTGGTCCCTATATGTATAATTTTTAAAGAGCAGCCAATGATTTTTTTAATGTTTTAAGTGTAATTTGAAACAGAAAAGTTTTTTTCTTCAAGTGCCAGAATGTATGGGTGCATGCATGAGACAAGGAGTGGAAGACAACGTTCTCCTTCCAACCTCCCATTGGGACCGTTTTGCACCTTTTCCCTCCAGTTGTCTAACCTATCAGGATCCTGTGCATGTGTGTTCATTATGTAAACTGTTGGGTTGGGACTCAAACCCTGGTTGGTCATATGGGATTTGACTACCTCTACACAGTGCTTAATTGCTGTGCTACAGGCCAGCCCTCTTTTTTAAAAAAATTTAACCCGAGAGCACGTGTGCCCATCAGAGAAAGTGAAGAAGCAGGCCCTCCTCCACTAATTCCTTCTTCATTTCTTCCTCCTTTCAGGATCTTGGGCATGCATGCGCATGGCACTTGTCGTTTCACAAGCTCCTTGAACTGTGCAGTTGCAGTGTGGGAATCTTCTCCTGTCGTAATGCTTTCTTTGTTATCTGCTTTCATTCAGCTACTCTGGATCCCAGCAAGTGTGGGATTTCATCATGTGTTTAATCATTGTTGGATACTGGGGTTGATTCATCCGAGTCCACTTTTAACCTATTTCTTCTGTGTGTGTTCATAGGTGTGCTCCTACTCAACGCAGTCCTCACCGTGCGGGCCCATCAAGCCAACTCTCACAAGGAGAGAGGTTGGGAGCAGTTTACTGATGCGGTCGTGTCCTGGCTAAACCAGAACTCACACGGCCTCGTCTTCTTGCTCTGGGGCTCTTACGCTCAGAAGAAAGGCAGTGCCATTGATAGGGTATGTTTGTTTTTAACACTTTAAACAGCAAAGAATTCTTGGAATCCCTGTTTTGTGGTCCTGAAAAATCCATGTCATAAAATGAATTGTCTTTTCCCCATAAAAAGAGATTTATTGTAATTACAGCTTGGGTATCCCATTGAGAATTTAGCAGAATTCAGGCAAATTATAGGAATGGTAAACTGTACGAGAAAGCAGCTGGATGAGTGATGATAAAACAAATGAAAAAAGATTTCTGGCTTCCAAGAAATGTGGGAGCGTATAGAAAACAAAGTTTCAGTTACTCACAAATTGGACTTTCTGATCAAAATGCCATTGTTGATCATCAAATCTCAGCTCTAATTGCAAATATCCAACATGACCAAAGCAGTGTTTTCATTGCTGTGTCCTCCTGCATCATTCCCCAGCTTGCTCCTCTCTGTTCCATTTGCTGACTGACCCTTCCAAGGGATCTTCACATAATTCATAGAAAATGCATATTATGAGAACGCTGCATGGACTTCAGAATTTTCTGTTCTAAGATAAACTTGTACTTTTATTCCACTTTTCCACCAATTTTTCCCTTCTATATAACTGGTTTTATATATACATATATATATATGTATATATATGTGTATATATATATATACATGCACACCTGTTTCAGCTGAGGCCTGTTGTCATCTCTGTTCTGTGCTGCCTGTTTCAAGTGAGGCCTGTTGTCATCTCTGTTCTGTGCTGCTCATTTGTGGTAAAGGTTGCCCAGAGAACTAGCATCTAATAAAACCGCTAATTTATATAAGTTATTACAAGGGATCTTTAAAAAGTTTTTATATGTATATATATATACATACACACACACACACACACTTGAATCTTGAATCTTCTTGAATCTTTTCTTTTCTCTCGTCCGCTTAAATTCAGTCTTTCAATAAATTCTATCAACTCTGCCCTTTAAAAACATTCCAGTTCTGCTGCTATGCAGAGTCACCACTGTTACCCTCTAGCAGAACCATCATCTCGAGATTGTGGTTTGATAGAAAATGGTGGTAGAGGAGCAGAGAATGGTGGGGAGTGGGAGAGGAGTTAGCGTTTAAGCTGGGAGTGGTGGTATGTACCTGTGGTCCCAGCTGTTCTGGAGGATCATGACACAGTGAGACCCTGTTTGAAAATTAAAGAGAGGGCTGCTGGGGCTGGCTTTGTAGTGTAGTGGTTAAAGGAGCCAGATCTCACATAGTTGACCATGGTTCAAATTCAGACCTCAGTGTCTTCAAATTAAACCTGCTGAGCCCATGCACATGTGTGTCCCAGATCCCAACAACAGTGAATAGAGAAGGGATTATGGCGTGTACGTGATCCATTGGGTGCGTTCTTCCCCTGCTTGTCTCTTGTGAACACATGTGTTCTCTGGCAATTTAAAATAAAGGAATGAGTCTTCAGCTCAGGCATCCGAGGGGAGACTCTTGAGTGGGGAAGTAAGATAGGGGGAAACTTTACAATATAAAAAAGCTTTAATAAATGAAGTAAAAGGATTAACTGGGGCAACCTAGCAGTAGTTTCTGGTATGACACAAGGAAACTGGTGTATCAGAAATGCGCAAGGCTCTCCAACCCTCCCCCCCCAATCCAGTGTCAGGAACCAGATCAAGCACTTTTTTTTTTTTTTTAATTTATTTTTTTGGAGAGGTTTTTGCTATAGGGCGTGTGCACTCGCCAGAAAGACAGAGAGAGACAGAAAGCAAGAAATCACCCCCGGAGGGATGGACTCTGAAATCCCTTCTCCTCCCTTCTCTTCTTGGGATCTTGGGCATGCACGTACACATGCCCGGCATGAGTTTAAGCCACTGGGTCTGGGACTCGAACCATGGTCGACTACATAGGAGTCCAGCAACATACCTGTTATGCCAACTGCTGGTCCCACATTTTTAAAAATAATTATTTTACTTACCTTTATTTTCATTTGACCAGAGAGGGACAGAAATCAAGCTGCCAGGTTTGGGACTTGAACCTCGTGGGAGTCCAGCACCCTTAACCACCATACCACTTGCCAGCTCCTCAAGCACTTTTTATGCAGAATCTTGCATAACTCTCAGAAAGGCCTGGAGGGTAGGAGCACACATACTCTGTACAAATGACCCAAGATCTGATTATCTAGGTACTTACGTGCACAGGTGAACATTTCCTAATCTCTGCCTAGGGTGGTTTACGGCCAGTTTTGCTTTTATTATTAATCTTTATTGAACATGGTTTGCTCTAAAAGGAAACCATTGTTAAAAATATCTTGATCATTAAAACCCATTTGCTGGGACCAGCAGTTGGCGTAATGACTATGTCGCTGGACTCCCCTGTAGTTGACTGCAGTTTGAGTCCCAGACCTGGTAGCTTAAACTCACGCTGGGCACTTGTGTGTGAGTGCCCAAGATCCTGAGAAGAGCTTGTGGCGTGATTTCTCACTTTCTGTCTCTTTGTCTTTTTGGCGAGCACACGCATCTTATAGCAAAAACCTTTCCAATAAAAGGGGGGAAAAAAAAACACTTGCAACCTGGGTGATGTGGCACGTGCCTGTAATCCCAGCTCCTGGGAGGCCAAGACAGAATTGCGAGCTCAAGGCCAGCCCTGGGCAACATAGCAAGATCCTGTCTCTTTAATAAAAACCACAAAAAAAGCAAAGTATGTGGCTCCCACCCAGTACCTCTCCTGACATGCCACTTGTATAGTGTCTCCTCACTCCTGTCCCACAAGCACATTAAATTCAGTACCTTGGGGGCCAGCCAGTGGCATGGAGGTTAAGACAGCTTGATCCCACATGACCAGCTGTGTAGTTCAAGTCCCAGACCTGATGGCTTGGAAAAACATGCCAGGTGCATATGCATGTGTGCCCAAAATTCTGAGAGGAGAATGAGAAGGGGTTGCATCATGCTGTTCCCCCAGGGGGTACTTTCTCACACAACCTCTTCTCTTCCTCCCCCAAGTGAGTGCACATGCTCTATAGGAAGTTTTTTTTTTAATTCAGTATTTTCTAAACTAGTTTGTCCTTTTCTCATCTCTCCCTCACTAAACTTGCTCCTCCATACTCCCCAGCAATTAAAAAGTACCACCCAGTTACCCAACTAGAAATCTAATACCTTTCATGCTATTCACTTACCTCTCTCCTCTGCTTCCCTCTCCTCTCCCCTATCAAGTCATTCCATCTGTCAGATCCATCCTTTGCCTTAGCTCAGGTCTCCCCCTGATCTTGCCTAGAAAGTTCACATGCTTTCTTCTCCCTGCACCGCCTTGGTTTAGGCCACAAGCTGGTTTTAAGGGTAGCCCCCAACTAGCCTCTCAGTCGTAACTCCCCACCTTCCACTCTGAGTTCCAGGGTGACTGAGCCCCCTGTGCTTTCTCATCACGTCCCACTTCTCTGCTGCTCTCTGCACCGCCTGCTTCCTAGGCCCAGAGTGCAGAGGACGTCCCTCTTAGGATGCTGATGAGCTTAGTGTCAGAGCTTAGCCTGACTGACATTGACAGGGCCTGTACTACAGGCTGGAGAATGGTGAGCACTTGACCATCCTTCTCACAATAATCAGGTCCATGGTTGTTCATTTGATCCTTCACGGAACTTCGTGAGCTCAGTGGTGGTGTCCCCAGTTTACAAAAGAAAACCAAAGTGTACTTTAGTTTCAGTGATTTTTCACCAAATGGGAGGACTGGACTTAAACTCAGATAGCCTGGCTATATGCTCTGTGCTCTTTTATTCTTTTAATTTGCCGGAAGGCACGTGTGCTCACTGGAGAGAGATGGGAGGTGGGGAGGGCAAGAAAACACCCCCTATGAGGTATGGTCACATCATAATCCCTTTGCACTTCTCCCTCTTTTGAGGATTTTAGGCATACATGCCCTGTGTGTTTTTCAAGCTGTAGGGCCTGGGATTTGAACCGTGAGGTCAGCCATGGGGGATCCAGCTCCCTTGCTTTGTCAGCACTCCCCTTCCGCACTCCCCCTCCCACTAAGGTCTTTAAAGAGAGTTGTTTTGAAAAAAGGTGATTTGTTAGGTGGTTTTTATTTAGATACAGAAAAGAAAAGAAACAAAAATGGGAACCAGCAGATGGCGTAATGATTGCGTCACTAGACTCCCCACATAGTTGAGCAAGTTTTGAATCCTGGACCCAGTGGCTTAAAACTCAGGCCATGTGCATGTGTGTGCACCCAAAATCCCGAGAAGAGAATGAAGAAGGGATTGCAGCGTGGCCATACCCCTTGATGGGGGTGATTTCTTGCTTTCTGTCTCTGGTGAGCACACACACACCCTATAGCAAAAATATTTCTTAAAAAAGAAACAGAAATGGTTCATAGTCTAACTACTCAGTACCACAGTTGACATTAAAAAGTCAAAGTATCCCATTGTTGCTGTGAGACAATTCAGGTTGCTCAAGAAGGTACAAAATGGAAAGTAAATGACTTCCACACCCCCCACCCCATAAAGGAATTACTATAAATAGTATCATGGGTGTTTTTCTAGAAAAACTTGTATTGCATTTATTACTTTACCTTGCTTTTCCCCCGTCATGAGTTTCAAGGTCTCCCCATCAGTATTGCGTTTCACCAGTTCCATAGCACTGGATTTATATGGGACTCTAGCTGAGAGCAGCCGTGCTAGGGTGAGCCCCTGTGCACATGTGTCTTTGCACATGTGCATATATGCATTATGTATGTACAGTCTGAGTGAGTGGTGGACTGGGGGATAGTAAGGTAGAGACCCTGTCACAGTGTAAAACACTGCTGGGTAGAAGACTGAGCCTGATGCTCTAGTGTCCTCAGGTAGCTTAGCAGAGGTAGGTAATGGCTCTACAAATGAATGAACAACCAGACTTCTCAGATAAATGATAAATGCTGGCGGTGAATAGACTTGGGCAGGTGGGAGAATTTAGAGAAGGCCAAGAGGGATCGCACAGCTTTCTTAAGGCCACAGCCCTCCTTTTCTAAAGTCCAGCATCTGCCATGGTTTATTTTTTGTTCTTTTTCAGAAGCGGCACCATGTACTGCAGACTGCTCACCCTTCCCCGCTGTCAGTGTATAGAGGGTTCTTTGGGTGTAGACATTTTTCCAAAACCAACGAGCTGCTGCGGAAGTCTGGGAAGAAGCCCATCAACTGGAAGGAGCTGTGATTGTGAACTGAGCCGGTGGTCTCTCTCCACCGGTGGGTTTTGAGAAACTGCTGTTGAGTGATTTCAGTTACAAAGTTGTAAATTTCCCTTTCTGTTTGTAAGTACTTGGCATATGGGGAAAATCTTCTGCCAAAACACCAGGGCCCAGGCTGCTGGGTACAGGCATGGCAGCTTTATCCAGCCAGAACCAACTGAGACTACCCTTTGACCTGAGTCATCCTCTGCTCTATGGTTTTGGCCTGCAACATGGACCCTCTTGAAGACAGGAGGTCAAACACTCACTTGGCTGTCTTCATCTCCCTTACCATTATGGTGTGGGGGGGTGGGGCTGCATCTTTTTGGCACAGCCAGTAGTTTGGGGCCCGCTGCTACTTGTTTTTACGTGGTAGGTTAGACTTTTGGTTACGAGGCTTTGGGCGTTTGTGGAGAAAGGACCCCTGTGTCCAGCCCATTTCCAGGTACACTGTTCCCTTGACCTTTCAAAGGGCCCTGTGGCCCCTCCTAGGAGGAAATGTAAGGATGTTTTGTAAGTTTCTAGAAATCTGACTGAGAAGCTAAGGATCCATTTAGAGGTGGACATGCCTTCTTATGTGAGCCTGTTAACAGACAAGCTGAGGGAATCAAGGTAGGCTTTGTTTATCCTGTTATTCTTTGTTTTTTTCCTGGAGTAAGCAGTGGACGATGACCAAGGAGGAGGGGAAAAGGACTTTTTTTTTTTTAATGGGAGGAGTGTCTTTTTCCTAGAGTAATCCCAAGTTGGGCTTTTTAAAGCAGCAGACTGCCAAATGCTGAATTTTATGGACTGGAAATCACTTTGGGATATTTTTTTTCTGCAACACTGGAAAACTTGACTTTTTTAAAGTTACGTAGGCAGATATATATATTTTTTTAAATCCTTTTTTTAAGCGACAATCTTTGTTAGGTCTGAACCTCCATCCTTGATCTTGTTAGATATCCTGCTTTTGCTGTTAGCTGGGTTAAAGAGTTAACCCTGAGCAAGTTTGATAATAAAAGATTGTTGAAGTTTCACTTTGTGACAAGTGTCCTTTGGCATCTGCAGACGTCCTTGGGCTGCTCTTGTACTTGGCTGGCTGGTTTCTGGCCCCCTGCCATGGTCGCCATGGCAACCATTGTATGCAGAAGGGCCACCCTTCCTCCCCACCCTCCTGTGCTCAGTGGGACCACACACCCCTCTGCCTGGCCTGGTTTAAGCCCTGCACTGTCCCAGCTAGGAGCAGCTGAGTGCCCTGAGATCAGTCTGCTTTGACTGAACAGTTTGGGGGGGACCAGCAGATGGTGTGGTGGTTAAGGTGCTAGACTGTCACCTGACCAACCATGGTTCGAGTTCCAGACCTGGCAACTCTATTTCTCTCTCTCTCTCATAGCTTGTAGCAAATTTAAAAAGTAATAATAAGGGCCGAAAGATGGCAGGATGGTTGGAGCTCTTGACTCTCACATGGCCAACCACAATTCAAGTCCCAGACTCAGCAGCTTGAAACTCAGGCTGGGCTTGTGTGGGTACACTCCTAAAATCCCTAGAGAATGAAGGAGAAGGGATTGGGTTGTGGCTGTACCTCCAGTGGGGGAAGGGGGGTGATTTATTGCTTTTTGTCTCCCTTTCTCTGACTCTCCAGTGAGTGCGTGCACCCTATAGCAAAAGTCTCTCATAAAAAAAAAAGTTATGAGGGGCTGGCAGGTGGTGTTGTGGTTAAGGTGCTGGGTTCCCACTTGGTCAACCATGGTTCAAGTCTTGGACCTGGTGGCTTGCTTTCTTATTTATTTATTTATTTATTTATTTATTTATTTATTTATTTATTTTTGGAGAGGTTTTTGCCATAGGGTGCGTGCACTTGCCAGACAGAGACAGAGAGACAGAAAGTGAGAAATCACCCCCCAGGGGGGATGGCCATGCCGCAATCCCTTCTCCTCCATTCTCCTTTCGGGATCTTGGGCACACACGCACACTCACCTGGCGTGAGTTTTAAGCCACCGGGTCCGGGACGCAAACCATGGTCGACTACATGGGAGTCCAGCCACATAGCCATTACGCTAACTGCTGGTCCCCATTTGCTTTCTTTCTCTCTGGTCAAACTAACAAGTAATAATAAATGAATAATAAAAATTTTAGTGATAAATAAAATGAAATAATTTTATAAAAAGCTTCATGGATACAGGTTTGAATTCATGTGTCATGAAGTCTTTTGATATTTTTTCCTAAGCTTAACAAATGTCACAATCAGCCCTAGCTCAGGTGCTGTAGGAAGACAGGTGGAGGGGTAGTGATAATTTGATGTTCCCTGGAAGATTACATCTGGGGCAGTGTAGGAGGCATATGTGAACCAAGCCAAGATGATTCCCATCCCCTCCCCTGCCAGGTAAGGAAAAGAGTATCTGCTGAAGGCTTTCAGAATTGGTAACGCGAGGAAGTCAGTTACACAACTATGGTAATCTCAAGTTGTAAAATAATTGGCTTTGATCTGAGTCCAGTGGGGCAAGGTTGGGGACTATTTGTGCATTCTTGGTTTTTGCTTTTGTTTTTTAAGAGAGATTTTTGTTACAGGGCGTGTGCATTCACTGGAGACACAGGCAGAAAGTGAAAAATCACCCCCATGGGAGCTGGCCTTGCCACAGTCCCTTCTCCTTTCTTTTCTTGGGATTTTGGGGCACTCACATACACGCACCTAGTGTAAGTTTCAAGTCTCCAGATCCAGGACTCAAACCATGGTCGACTACATGAGAGTCCAGTGACATAACCATTATGCCATCTGTTGGTCCTTTTTGTGTTGTGTTTTTTTTTTTTCTTTTTTTTGGGAGAGGTTTTTGCTATAGGGCGCATGCGCTCGCCAAACAGACAGAGACATAGAAACAGAAAGTGAGAAATCACCCCCCCAGGGGGCATGATCACGCCGCAATCCCTTCTCCTCCATTCTCCTCTTGGGATCTTGGGCACACATGCACACGTGCCCGGTTTGAGTTTGAAGCCACCGGGTCCAGCATGTGAACCGCGGTCAACTACGTGGGAGTCCAGCGACATATCCATTACTCTAACTGCTGGTTCCCTGTGTTGTGCTTTTTAATAGACTGTGTGTTGCTGATCAGTGTGCTTCCACTACTAGATGATGTGATCTCTTTCTTGAAAAATTCACCTGCTTCAGTTTGCCACTGATATAAAAAGTCAGGATTTTGGTGGAGAAGCACACTTGTTGGTTTATGTGTGTGGTTCTGGCTTTTCATCCTTGTCAAACCTTCCAGGTATACAAGGGGAAATGGGACTATGGGCTACTGTGGAAAGCCCTCGCATGTTGATTTGTGCTGACTTAAGCTGAGGAAAGACTTAGTTTGCCTCCTGTAGACAGCTTCTTTTTTTATTTTATTTTTATCTCACAACTTTTAAGTTCCTTTGTAGATTATTCTAAATTGGGACCAGTTAAACCTTTTTTTGAGAGGTTTTTGCTGTATGGCACATGCGCTCACCAGAAAGAGAAACAGAGACAGAAAGCGAGAAATCATCGCCCAGGGGGGAATGCCACGCTGCAATCTGTTTTCCGTTCTCCTCTCCGGATCTTGGGCATACACACACGCATGCCTGGCATGAGTTTAAGCCACCAGGTCCGGGACTCAAACCGTAGTTGAATACATGGGAGTCCAGCAACATAGCCATTAAGCCAACTGCTGGTCCCCTGGTATATTTTTTAAAACCACCAGGTCTGGGACTTGAGTCATGTATTCGGCCACATGGGATCCTGCTGCCTTAACCACCACACCATGGACTCACCTGACAATTTTACCTTTTTGGGAGGAGGCAGCAAATAATATGCATGACTCTGAATCCATACCATATGTGAAGAATTTTTTTTTCTATTAATATTCTTGTGTTTAGGGACCAGCATATGGCATAATGGTTATGTTGCTAGCCTGCCATATAGTTGACTGGGGTTCAAGTCCTGGACCTGGCATCTTGAAACTTATGATGGGAGATATGTGTATGCATGCCCAAAATTCCAAGAGGAGAATGGAGAAGAAGGGTTTGAGGCGTGACTGTCACCCTTGGGGGTGTTTTCTCATTTTCTGTCTCTCTCTATCTCTTTGACAAGCATACATGCCCTATAGCAAAAATCTCTCCCAAAAAAAAAAAAAAATTCTTCTGTTTGGTGGAAAGAGTTGGTGAATGACTGGGTTCAAGCCTTCCATTTGTATTCTAGAAAATAACTGTCTTACAGAGAATGCCAAAGAGAGCCAAATGCTGGACAGAGTTCTGTGTGTGTGTGTGTGTGTGTGTGTGTGTGTGTGTGTGTGTGTGTGTGTCTAGTCTTTTTGAAACAAATTAATTGTAAGGCCAGCAGGTGGTATGGTGGTTAAGGTGCTGGACTCCCACATGGCCATCCATGGTTGAAGTCTTGGACCTGGTAACTTGACAATCATGTTGGGCGTGTGTGTGTGTGCATGCCTAAAATCCCAGAATGGAGATGGGATTGTGATGTGGCCATCCCCTGTGGGGAGTGATTTCTCACTTTTCACTTTCTGTGATAAGAACTTTAAATAAAAAACAGGTACTGAGTTTTATTGTAAAGATATTACTAAGTGCCTGTTATGAGCAAGCTCTGTGCCTTGAACTTAGTGTTTTATCATTTCATGTCACCTCAGCCATGTGCCGAAGTGACTGGAGAGGACACTGAGACTGAGCCTGAGTGTGCCTAAAGTCACAGAGAGGACCCATGTCAGCCTGATTTCAAACCTGATAGTTTTCAATTGATGTCCTGCCTAGGTCATCATCATTTGGAGTTGTTGAGAGTGATTTTTTTTTTCTTTTTTTTTGCTAGAAGGGTGTGTGTGCTCACTAGAGAAACGGGTAAGGGTGAAGGGGAGGCAACCCCCATGGAGCATGGTCACACTATAGCACCTTCTCCTGTTTCTCCTTCCTGTTGAGATTTTTGGGTATACAAGCACATGTGCCCTTCATGTTTCTTAAGCCACCATATCCAGGACTCAGATGATGAGTTTGTACACATGGGACACAGCTGCCTCAACCACCAGACCATGGAGCTGGCCCCAGGGAAGGAAACTTTTTTTTTTTTTTTTTTTAAGTTTTGCTATAGAGTGTGTGCACTTGCCAGAGAGACAGAGTGGAGGAAAATGAGGAATTACCCCCCCACCCCCCAAGGAATGGCCACACCTCAGTACCTCCTCTTTTCTCATGGGATTTTGGGCACAGACACCTTGCATCATTTCCAAGCCGCCAGTCAGGGACTTGAACCACACAGCTGACCATGTGGGATCCAGCCTTCTCAGCCTCCACAGTACCTGCTGGCCTGGGAAGGATTTTTCTTTTTTTTTTTAAAGAGGTTTTTTGCCTTAGGAAATGTGCTGCCAGAGAGACAGTGAGAGGGAAAATGAGAAATTACCCCTTGGGGGATGGCCACACCGCAGTCCCTTCTCCATTCTCCTCCTTGGATCTTGGGCATGCACACACACGAACCTGCTATGAGTCAAGCCACC